AAAACCCAGTGAACGTAATAAACCAGAACACTGGGTCTAAACGGTAAGTAAAACCAAATAGAAGTATATTAAAACCAAACAAAGAAATGAACCCTAAAATAACTCAGTAAAAATAATTCATTATGTTCCAGGTTAAACATGTCTAAGAAACTTAAAGAATTAAAAAAGAAAACAGTATCACAAATAGGTCAAAGAATAAAGCTTCTGTGGTAGTTGCAGGAAATCTTAAGATAAACTTCACCCTGAAAACACTAGCACCATGTAAAGCACCATGCAGCCACCCTCTTGGTGCATGCTGGAAATATCTCAGCAGATGGCAGAGTTCAATGCAGGTTCTTCCAGTTCTCACCACACCACTTCCACAGATCATAAAATAAACCCAGATGCAGCAAAACTGACTGCCAACTAAAAAGCAAAAATGCGAACATCCTGAAGAAGAACTGTAGTAAATGTGCAAAATTTTAAGCCAAAAGGACAAGAAAGCACTCATACCAACTTTCTCTTTAAACAAATTCAAGCTGGAATTAAAATACTGTATTGCATACCAGAAAGGAAAAGCTAATGTATTTAATTACAACTGATCTAAATTAAAACTCAAGTAGAAGATTCATTCAAAAGCAATTTCAAAAGAAACATACTTATTTGTCAAATAAATTCTAATAAAATTTTATTTTGGAAGTTTGCTGAGGAAAAGAAGAATGTCCAAGCCGTTATAAAAAAAGAGAACTCAGATTATCTGTAATAGCTGCTTCCCTTATTCTTACCTTAATAGCTTTTCAGGAATCCCACCAAATTCCCTATCCAAATCTATAACCATAAAACTCAGACCAAAGTGTGCTGGCAATATCACTTCAGTCACCAATGGGAAGGAAAAGGAAAGCCAAATCTTCAGTGGCTGGTTTTGCTATGTTAGCTTAAATTGCAAACTGGCCAGAAGTCCTTTGGAGATTAGTGTCATCCTACCTTTCAAGAAATGCCAGTGGCCCTACTTTGTTTTGTGACAAAGAACTTCATGGGCAACTTGCCCAACATCAAGGCCCAACTAGAAGGTAATAGACTTTTTTTCAAAGCTAAGAATTTAAAAGAAAAAATTGTCTATGGAATTATATTAGTTAAAAAGAAAAATGGTTAAAAGACAGGAAAGAACCAGGTGATCTTATAAATGAAGAACAGATACTGTTATTGTGTTTAAATTTTCATTTGTACCCCTGCCACTCTTTGTGGTTTTATCACTACTTGGGTTAGATCTGCTTTTCCTGCCCTCTATTTTTCAATGATAAACTAGAATTTATTCTTGATCACATCTTTTTCCTGCACACACTCCTCCAGAGTAAGCTTATTTGCTCTTGTCGTGGTTTAACCTCAGTCGGCAACTGAGCACCACACAACTCTATCCCTGCTGAAACCAGGACAGCTGTCTTGGTCTTTCATCATCACGTTGAAAGCTCAGTCTGCCAGCCATCCTCACGTAGCTTCTTTCGCTACAGCTTGCCTCACTTTCAGAAAAATCTCTGAGAGTCCTCTCATCTCCCCTTTTTTTGAAAATTAAACCAGCAATAGTTCAATTTTTGTCGTTCCTTATGATTCTGCCTGTTTTTCTATAACACTTTTAGGAACTCATCCCTCAATTCAGATAGGAATCTTATCTTGGGAACCATAAAATTATGCACACATTTCATAAAAATTGGCTTGTTTTTGCATGAATTAGATATAAAGGACTTTTAAATGAAAATAAATAAATAAATAAATATGTGGGCAAACAGGCATCTTCTAGCAGAAATGCGTCTAAATCCACAAAATGACTTTCGAAAGCTTGCTCTTGGCCATCAGACCTTATTCCTGTCACGTTGAAAAGAGAACTCTGACTGCCACACAGTCTATAAAATTTAGTTTTAAACCACCTGTATGAATTCTTAAGTATAAAAAAGCATATTAAAACTAAAATAAAAATTTCAAATTTTCACAAATTACCAATTAAAACCCCCCTATTTTCTATTTGAATATTTAAAATACCACACAAGTGTATGCATGCTTTATCTTTCAACCCTGTTTAACTAGAGGGCGGGGCTTTGCGTGTGCGTATCATACAATACACAATAAGGGAGACTCAGTTGAAATATCTCATTTTCAAAATTCATCTGGTTTTAGTTACAGAAGTGCAAAAAACAGTTCAGAACCAATAGGAAATGTTCTACTTTATCCTCCTCTAACTTAGAAATGTCTAAGCTGGTTTTACTCAAGCTTTGTAAAAATACAAACAAAAGTAGTTAAAAAAAAAAAAAACCACCAAAACCAAAACCTCCCATTGCTTGTAGACTGAGAAGCTGAAGTCTGAGCCGTGGAGTTATTTTTACGGACATAGAGTAAGCCACTCAGAAAAAAGCTTATAATGGAACCAAAGGCACATAACTAGACAGTAAGTACAATGTAATAATAATAGTAATATGCATTTCAAATGTATAATCCAAAACTTCATGGAAATATGCTTGTAATGTAAAGCAAAAAAAATACAGAATTATTTGATTCAGATATATTGTGTATGATATCTGCAGTGTTTGTGCTATGTAATTCTAGAAAAGAGTAAGTTAAAAAAAGCTTCCTACCTACTGGCCATGTTCCATTCAAGCGCTGGATTTTGAGAATTTCTTTCACTCTCCGTCAAAACCCCTCCTTTTCCATTTTCCTTCTCTGGTTTCAACTGATTCCAGTGAGCAGTACCAATGTTTATAGATTGAAGATCTATTTGATATTGTCTGTCTTCAACCTCTGAGCCAGGGTCTCGAAGTATTCCTAGATTCAGTGCTCTCCTGCAATGCCAAAGGGGAAAAAAAAAAAAAAAGGAAGGAAAAAAAAAAATCAGCAACAAAGGTCAAAATCAGACCAATCAGACATTCATTAAGATACCAAATTAAGAAAATTAAGGTATCAGATTTGCCATTCTGGACTACATCTAAGCATTACTTTAAGTCCAGATCTTCAGAAGTATCCAGCTGCCTCTTTCCTATGGAATTCAATGGGAGACATGCAAATAAATATATTCCAAAATTTAGACCGATCCACCAAAATAGGTACGAGATCAATCTATTGACTTCACTGGACTTTCAGTCAGGCCCATATGAGCAACCTTGTGGGGAAGCAGGACTAACTCATATCTACTGAATAGATAAAGGATGTCACATTCAAGTCCTCAAAAAGAACAGCTACGTATCAGTATTATGAACAACTTTATTGTGAGATAATTGTTCCACTGTTCAAACTTATCAAAGAATAAAAATTAGAAAGAACATTCCAAGATGATGGAAAAACAATTCAACCTTTTTAACATGGAATTTCAGTACAGTGCTTTGTTATTAAAATTCTTCTGACAAGTGAGAAAAAAAGCATTTTTGAGTGAATCCCATTACTTGTGGATTCTGCTAAATCCTGTTACATGAGATTTTACAAAATATTTCAATTCTGAACTGAGTTTGGGAAACAGTCACACCTAACTTCAACAAAACATTCAAGAGCTATTGGATGAGTGGAGGCTGCTAAGGCCATTCAGTTTACCAGTGACCAGTATCAGAGGAGTCTCCTACTACCATTTGTCTTCTGCTAATAAGCACTAGTAAGTTTTCAAAAAAAATTATCTTGCCCTTTCTACACTAGGAACAATATAGCTTTATGTGCGCTGCTTATTTGATATTATAATAAAAATGCACAATTGAACTTATCACTATTTTTCAAAACAAGCCAGTAAAGGGAGCAAGGGGATCTTAAATTTTTTTGCTTTGAATCTATGAGCACATCAAATTGTAGTCTATATTTATTAATTTCATACACCTGAGTTGAAGCTTAAGCTTCTTATTTGCAAATGCCATCCAATCTACTGTTCCATTCTAGACTGTTATCTTATGCCAGAGTTGTTATTTAGTATATAACTGCTGTCTCCACAGAGAACTTTAATAATTCTGCAATTTGTTTAATCATTGTTGCTAACAATCTAAAAATAAATAGGATTAGAGCAGCACATCTCAACCTGTGATGCACACACTGCATGCAATCTAAGTATAGGTATGCAACCTATGGGTACGCAACCTATTTCAAAGTGCAATCCCAGTGCTGCCCAAATCCAAACACAGTTGAAACTGCTAATACCACTGCCACTGTCACCAATGGAGTATGCAAGCAATTAAGAAAATTAACTAATTAATCATATCTACCCACAGAGGCATGCAAATGGCAGGAAAGCTGTTTTGATCAAGTCATTCCTGGTGAGGCAGTGTGATAGCATGGTTCAGTAGCCCTATAACTTACTTAAATGCTTAGCAGAAATACACTGAAAATCTGTTATGTCAGTAGTGGTATTTCAAAATTAAATGTGGTTTCTTAAAACTCAAGAATGTGTTTGTCAACTTTCCACACAGAGAGATCTAACCACAACAACTGTGTCTTTTATTATTCTTTCTAGGCGTTATTGCATCAATATAAATGCAGTTCTGTTTGTTTTTTTTTTTTTTTAAAAAAGCACGGTAGATTATTTTATGACCCAGTGCGTATTAACATACTCTGTCTAATGCAAGTAAATATTGGAATATATGTTTTGTGAAATATTACTGAAATTAAAGCACCAAATTACATATTTTATGAAATCTGCTAAAGTATGTAAAATACAGAGTATGATACCGATTTCACCTGCATAATGAATTCTTCTCTCCTGTACTTCACAGTAAAGAATACTTTTCATTCGTTCTTCTCTTACATAATATAAGAAATATATAGTCCCCTGGACTTCAGGAGAGCAGACTTTGGCCTCTCCAGGGATCTGCTTGGTAGAGTGCCATGGGACAAAGCCCTGGAGGAAAGAGGGGCCCAAGAAAGCTGGGTAATATTCAAGGATCACCTCCTCCAACCTCAGGAGCGATGCATCCCAGCAAAGGGGAAGTCAGGCAAAAACGCCAGGAGGCCTGCATGGATGAACAAGGAGCTCCTGGACAAACTC